CATTCTCCCAGAGGCCTGTGGAGCTGGCCACCCCGACCGAGCCACGAGGAGGGTTGTGAGGCAAGGTGCCCGCCACCCTGGGACAACTCTTCAGTCGAGGAGAAGCTGGCCTGGTACAAAGATTGGGGTCTGTCGTTTGACCATGCACCACCCGGGTTTGCTCTTTTTTCTTTTTTAGGGAGAAGGGCTTTCCTTTAGTGAAGACATGGACCTTGCCCCCTAGCCCCTGCTCCCCCGCTCCCAGCCGTGTTGGCAGTGTTGGGTTAAGGAGCTGGTTTGACTCATTAAGTTCTTTGATTTTGGGTCCCAGCTAAAGGGGTGGGGTGCAGCTAGGGACAGCTCCTTTCCTGGGTGAACCTTTCATTTGACTAATGCAGCTTACTCACCCTGTGGTGAAGGCCAGGGCAGCTGCAGGTGCCCATTACCAACAGCCTGCCTTCTGGGCGGGTGGGGTTGTCGTGCCCGAAACCAGCCGGTGCCCACCTGAGGGCTAAGGCCTCTTGCTGGTGCATGACATCCGTTCCGCAGAGCTGGGGTGGGGGGTGATGTCAGGGATCAGGGCGATGTGGTAATGATGTACCCCCTGTCCCCACCCCTGTTCATTTCAAGCTGTTTCCAAACAGTTCAGTTTCTTCTGAAGACGAAGCCTTGCCCCGCAAGGCCCAGTGAGACCACTGGATCTTGGAGACAATTCCAAGACGGGAGTAGCGCTCCTGATTGCTTCGGAAGCCTGCTGATTCTGCACCTGATCATTTGCAGCTGCTGGTTTGGGTTTCCACCTTACCCTCATGGCTGCGAAAACACACGATGTGTACTTAATCAATTTCCTTTCTAATTCTCCCAGATTGGTGGCTTGGGACTTGGGAGAGGACCAGGAGAAGGGAGTGAGCCTTCCTCCGTGGCCCATCACTCCAGCTTTGGGGAACAAAGACCAATGTGAAGACGCTCTGGGGAATTCTCTCTTCCAGTCCCCATGCCCCCCCTCCCCCTCCCGGGGAGTGCTGGAATAGGGGGCTGGGGGAAGGCAGAGGGTCCTTTGACATAGGGTTAGGTTCCAGGTGGCTGCTGGTTTCAGCACGAGCACTACTGAAATTCACACGAACAAGAGAAAGCTGTGAAACGGAGGTCCCGGTGTAAGAGGCCTGGAGCCGGGCCACCGGCCCGGGTGTTCCCGTAGAAGAGGGGGAGGGCCTGCCTGGGCTGGGATCGCGTTAGCCCCAGCTGCGCCTTGGGCCCGCGCTGAGCCTGAGCCGTTCCGTTCCCGGGACTGCCAGATAATCTGATGTGGAGCTGGAAGGAACCTGCTGGAAGGTTGCTGGCACAGACTTTGCCGCCGCTGCCGCCGCCGCGCCTCTTCTCGGTCAGAGTTGTCACACAGCCCGTCTGTGCAGATCCTGCCGCCACGTGTGACCTGAGGTAGGAGGCCCGTGGGGGCAGCAGGCCCTGGCGGCCCGGAAGAGGGAGGTTCGGGTGCCGAGTCTCCGGAGGAGGGGCGCGCGTCCGTAGTCGCTCTTTCTCGGCGGCGGCTGAACTTGGCCTGAGACTGCACTTCAGTTGCATCCCCAGGATTCCGGTTTTGTGTGTTTCCTTCTCTTTCTCCGTATTTATTTTTTTATTTCTCGGAGGAGGTGCAAATTTCAGGAGTGGTTGGGGGACGAAGGAAGCCAGTCTCTGGCTGCGCACCCCCCCCCCCCCGTGTGAAGCCTGCCCCTTCCTCCTCCCCGCCCTTGTGCTGGTCAGTCCTGGGTGCAGGAGCTGATGGACTCAAGTGTGCAGGCAGTGAACCCATTTGACATGCTGCTATGAAGACTACTTTTAGAACAACAATTAAAAAAAAAAACTAACCTACGGGGGAAAAAAAAAACCCTTTATTCTTTCATTGTTGCTTTGACAGTGATCTTGTGCATGCGAACCAGGAGCATTTTGTGTCTTAAGAAAAATAATCTTAGAACAGATGGCCGTGAACATTACACCCGTGCACAGAACCAGTCACAGGAATAATAGTTCAGGATTTGGTTTTTCTCTTTTTCTTGTAAACCTGAAGGGTTGATATATTCTTTCCATGCAGCTATTAGAATTTAGTTTTGTTCCAGCAGTTGTTAAACTTGCAATGAAAAGAAAATGTGCCATTTTTTTCCACTCGGAATTATTCATCGCTGTATATTTGAAACTGCTAATTACACGTGCGGTGTATGTTGGTTCTTAGTGCAATTCGTTCTGTAGTTATTCTTTGACCAAACCGTGGGTATTGTTAATATTAATTTATATTTGTCTCATTTTGTATGTATGTGTAGTGTGTTTGTAAGTATGTGTGGTTTATAATCTGACAAGGTCATGAAGCTCAGTTTGGCTGTAATTTAATTCCCTTTCCCTTATTTTTATTTATTTTTGTACTGTGCTGATTAAATAAAATGCACTGACCATCCATTCCATAGGCCTTTTGTCATTCACGAGCAGTTTGGGGGGGCCCCTTTTCTAAATGATTCCTGTGCTCGGAACATAATTGGATTTGAATCGTGGGGGAGGGGAGGGGTGGGCGAAGGGAGGGCAGGGCTCAGGGAGAGGGCTTAACCCATGCGTTCAAGTTAAGGTGATTAAGAGAGAAGCACAGGTTAAGTCAACTCAGGCTTAGCTGGGTGGCGGGGTGGGAGTTGCTCCTCAGAGGCTGCCCGGGCTTGACTTGGCTTGGCAGAGCTGGGTGACTGGGACCGGCGGCGGAGGCGGGGGGGCGGATCAGGCCCAGGCTTGGCCCGGTGAGCGCTGGTGTTGTGGCTCCCGCAGGTGCTCCCTCGTGGAGCTTGGCTCTGAGGCCGCTGCCCCCACGTATCCTGGGCCTGGCTCTGCTCAGCGCCCCTGGCCCAGAGGCTTCCTCTCTGCCGGCGGCTGTGGAGTGGTGTCCGCGTGGCTCAGCCCTGCCAGTTTAGCTTGGTGTGGGTTCGCAAGAGCGAGGAATCCAGCCCCCGGGGCTCCCAGATAAGCAACCACCCCAGGCCACGACTGTGGCAAGGGGTGGGCCCCCTACCGGCGGTACAGCCAGTGGTCCTTGTCCGTGCCCGCGCCCACCCCCAGCCTAAGCTTCGGGGTCCAGGGCAGTGTGGACTCAAGACTCCCCAGGGCCTGCACGCTGCGGGCCCGAGGTGCCCCCGGGCGCCGGGAAGGCACTGCCGCCCAGGTTGCCCCTCGGGTGCGGTCAGCTTTGTGAGCGGGGCCACTGGCTTAATTCAGGGCGTCTCCCTCGGTCCAAGTCACAGAAGCTGCACTGCATATTCTTTGCCACCAAGGACGGTGACCGGGCGGCCCTTGGGTGCTGGGGAGGCTCAGGGCTTGCTCACCTGCCGCTTGCCCCGCCCCTGCCCCAGAGGTCCGGGATCCCTCCCGCTTCTCCTGCCACTCCCATTGTCCCCAGCCCACCTGCCCGCCCGGGGAGAGGCCGCTGCAGGCCTCGGAGCTTGTCCTTCACAGATAGGTGCTCCGACTTTGGTCAACACGAACGCAGTGAACTTTGAGTCTAACGCACGGGCCTCAAAATGGTGGAACGACGTGCTTCGATTGAACTCCGCCGCCTCCCCGCTGGGTGTCTAATATTTTCGTTGAAAAGCCTCCTGTAAATTAGCCTCCATTTTACCTTATTTGTGCTTAATGCTCCCTCCCATCCTCTGGGACAGCAGCTGACTTTTTACCAGCTGGAATGTCACAATTGTGGGTATAGTTTTCAATTACAGATAAGCAGGACACCTTTAAAAGTAAGATTTAATGCTTTATTGCTCTTGATGGTAAATCAAAATATGCTCTAGAAATAAAGTTAATTTAATGGAAAATAGGAATAAACGCAGCAAACCATAAAACTGCATTTAATTAGATCAAGAGAAACACTTCATTGCATACAGTCGCTGTGTCCTCCTGCTCTCCCCCAGCACCTGGAGGCACCACTGAGCTCACACCCTAAAGGCTTGAGCCTTCTTCAGTTGCTACACACTGGGACTTCTTTCAGGACATCAAGAAAAAGTGCTTGTCGACTGGCCCTCAGCTGGGAGGCCCCTGCACTGGGCTGAGGAGCCCCAGGCAACCCCGAAAGGCAGCAGGAAGGGCCCCACTGCCCACCCCTCCTCCCCAGTCCCAGAAAGGCACTCATTTGGCATGTTCCGTTTTGGTGTGTCTCAAACATACACGTGCACGTCTCTAGTGTAAAGCAAGGAGTTTGAGGAAAGGAGTGGAAAGGAGAGGAGGCGCCGTTCCAGTTAGGATGGTTCCACTGGTGTCAAGGTGACTGGCAAAACTCCGTTGCTAAACCAGGCTGATGGCACCTCTGCGCGGTGCAGGCAGCTGACCAGGCTTCGAGAATGAGAACGGGTTTCTAAGGACAGGATGCCAAGAGGCTTCTTTATTGCGAACTGCACATGGTGCAAATGTTTTGCGGGCCCTGGGAAGTCGGGGGGTGGGGGGTGTGCGTGCAGGGGACACCAAGCTGTTGGGACCAGCCGGCGGGTCGGCTAGGTGACCGGGCAGGCGCTGGGCCAGGCATGGGAGGCTGTGCTCAGGCACTCGGTGTGATTTGCGGGGGTTCAGGGTGGCGGTGCAGGAGCATGGGGTGGGGGTGGGGCGGGGGGGATGGGCAGGGTCTGGGTCTGAAATTGAAAAAAACATCAGCGTGTCCCTCTTTTACCTCCCGCCAGTCTCCTCCCGAGCTGTGGGCTCCCCCTCAGTCCTCTCCCCACACGGAGTGTCCCAAGTCTCTCCTTTTAAGGCTCCTGGCCCGGAGGCCCGGGCTGCTCAGAGGCTTGGGGCCGCGTCCTCAGCCGAGGCTCCGGAGCAGAGTGGTCTCAGGAAGGCACTGGGGCACGCGTGTTTTCTGCTGGGCCCAGCCTGGGCCCCAGCTGTGGCGGCGGGGAGCAGCCTGGCCTGGCCTGCAGTGCCAGGACCCCCGCTCTGTTTCTGTCACCCTGCCCCTCCGGCCTTGGTCCTTGTTCTCCGAATGTGTCTGAAACAGGGGTGTCAGGGGAAACTTCTGGACAGCCCCCCCGCCCCAGAGTGCTCCCTGGCCCCTGCAACTCCATTTTCTCATCAGTGTGCCCGACATGAGTGTGGGCACAGCAGACCCCACACCCGAGGCGCAGCCCTGTGTGTTGCACACATCACTGCGCAACAACCACGGGCCCAGGCCGTGCAGTTGAGGAGGATGGGCCTTGGAGCACCTGCTCTGCTCTCTCCCGCAGAGGTGGCCTGCAGGCCCCGGGCGGGGGTGGGCATGACTTCTGCCAGCACTGGCTTCCGGGCCAAGGCGCCAGCCCGACAGGTGAACCTGCTCTCCTGATGGCCTTGGCTGACTGCTGGGGAGAGGGGCTCCACCAAGGATCTCTGAGCCAGGTCCCCTTGGGGGAAAGGGGTGGCAGGCTGTGCTCACGGAGAGAGCAGGGCTACATCCCCAGCTTATCTCCGGCAATCTCCCCCAAGCACCCCAGGGGAGCATGTTTTGGGTTGGGGAAACTGCATCCACCCCTTGCGGGGGGTCAAGTGCCAGTCACTGGGTCAGGGCCTGACCTGGCCAGTGGGGGGGGCGGTTTGTGGTGGCAGGGGCCTCCGCTGACATCAAGTTGCTTCTGCGGGGAGCTCTGGTCTGGGTGTGAGCCCAGGGGTCTATGGCAGGGCACCGGGGTCTTTGGTTTGTTGAGTGAGGACTGTGGAAAGTGGGGGCAGAGGAGGATGGAGACCAAAGGCAGAAAGCCAGCAAGAAAACCTCAGGGGAGGAGCCTTGGAGGCAGCAGAAGAGGGGCTCGGCCCCAAGCACGGCGGACCCTTGCGAGCTGATTTCTAGCGGGGGGTAGCGGGGAGTCAGCAAGTCAGACGGGGTGGCGAGGCCTCCCCGGTGGGCGGTCAGTTCCCCGGCACGCTAAGGATGAAGCCCGAGCGGTTCTTGGTGAAGTCGGGCTCCGGCTGGTTGATCCGCGTCTCCACGGAGACCGTGCACTTCTTCCCGTGCAGGCTGCACTGCACAGGGTTGGTGACGTTGACTTGAAGGTAGCGCTTCTCACTGGAAGAACCAAAAAGAGAAAGACCAGCAGGCAGTTAGCAGGCAGCCAGAGTGGGGTGAATGGCCCCGGCAGCCCCTGGGGCCCGCATCTGCCCAGCTCCCCGGGGCCTGGCGGGTGGCCCAAGGGCCACAGGCACAGGCGGTGCCCCAGGAGAGGGAGAGGGCAGCAGAGACCGGGGCTGGGCTGCAGCCTCAAGCCAGAGCCGGCAGAGAGCGGGGCTGACGCTGCGGCCTGGGCCTGTACCCGACTTGCTGCACTGGCCCAGAGCTCAGAATGCACTCGAACCAGAGCCACCGGGGCTCTGGGCTAAGGCAGGGACCCGGTCACTTGGGTGTTAGAGGTCAGCAGGGGGCTCGTTGGGAGGGGCACGGGCTTCTGATTCGGGGCTACTGATCAGCAGTCTGTGGCTGCAACAGGGAGCCCTGGGAGGCGCGTCTGGGCAGGGGGCGGGGGGGGGGGCGGAGGCGGACGGGAGATTCTTGCCTGCGTGCTCTCCCTGGCAAGAGAAAGCTCTTCCGGCAGTCCTGCCCGCCATTGGGCCCGGCCGGGAGAACTGGGGCTGACTCCTGCTTCCCCAGTGCCCTGGGCAGGCCCTCTCCCACTTGCGGTCTCCGAAAGCCCGCATGGTAGCGGCCCCCCCAGTGCGGATGCACCTGCCGCGGGCCGCCACCCATCTGCTGAGCCAAGAAACGTGTGCAAAGCAGCGGGCACCTCCCGTGTGCTCTCGCGGGCTGGCACACCCCCACGCCGCGGCTCGCGCCCCTCGGCTTTCTCGGAGCCAGAGGCGCAAGGAGCAGGGCCTGTGGCATCGGCCCGGATCCCAGGCGCTGGGCAGGCTGGCGGCGCACCACATGCCCAGGTGCCCAGGTGCAAGCGAGGCGCCTTCCCGGCACGTGTGTGAGGCTCTGTCACAGGAGGCGCGGCCCCAGCTCTCCCGGCACCTGCCCGCACGCTGCGAGGCTTCCTCATGCCCCTTTGCCACCTGCTTTCCCCCTGGGTCTGCCCCGGAGGCAGACGGTGCAGCAGGAGGAGAGCCGTGGTTTTCACTTGTGGGCATCAGGTATCTAACACTTAATGTCTTGTCAGCTGCAGCTAAAACCTTGGCTTAGACCGCTATTTTTAAGCAGACTTGGACATAAAAATAGAGTCCACCAGCGGCAGTGACTCAGGCACGGCTCTGCTCCTGGGGGAGCCGGGGCGGCTGGGCGGGGTCTAGGGGTGCGGCCCTGCGCTCCCGGTCCCCACTGTCGTGCTGGCCCAGGGCAGGCAGAGCCCCCGGTACTGCAGCCCTGCCTGCGGCTGGAGATGCTTCTAGGACCTGGAGCCTGCACCTTCCCCTGCTTAGCCAGCCAGCCTCCTGGGCCCTCTGGTCGACTTGGCACCGCCTCTGGGTCCCTCTGAGCTGGAATTATATCCCCTGGGGACATCCCCCTTCTGACTCTGGCAGAGGCCTCCCCTTTGCCCTTGCCTCCTGGTGGGCATGTGTCCTTCCCTCAGCGCATTGCTGGGGACAGGCTCTGTCTCCCATTTTCTGCGTCTGTGCCCCCCACCCCATGGTACTGTAGTGTGCATGCAGTGGGTTCTAGAGTCACCTGGGGGACTCAAAGTCCTCAGGAAATGGCTCTAAAAGGGCCACATTCCAAACACAGAGAGGGGGGGATGGGACTGACCAGCCACCCCCACGTTCTTGTGTTCGTACCATTGGGTCATGCTACCTTCAATAGGCTCCTTCTGACTCCAGCCCCTCCCCAGCCCTGAGTTCAGTGTGCCACAGAGAGTGGCCCCTGACCATTCTTCCTTCCTCTTACAGGCTCTGGGCATCTCTGGTATCTGCTCTGCACTCTCAGTGCAGGGTTGAGGCTGGTGGGAGATGGAAGAGCAAGTGGTTATTGTAGAATGGAGAACAAGGTAACAATGGCCCAACTTCACCTTGTAAATGAGCCCCTGGAGTGGGGGCTGCAGGAGAGAAAAAGCCGCAGAGAACCTGAGCTCCAGTCTGCTTCTCCCCGCACTGGGCAGGGCAGGAAGCATTTCTGCTAGCCTTTCTAGGCAGCCTCAGCACACGTACTGGTCTCCACTTCTAGAATGTGAGTCCTCGGAGGGCAGCGAGGGGCCTTACCGGGCTCCCACACTGCAGGGGGCATGTGGGCATGCTCCCCTGGTGCTGCTGGGCCGCACCTGCATTTCTAGCTAGGCTGCTCTCTGGGACTGGCGGCGCTAGCGTGGTGTGCAGGCCTCGTGTCCCCTGCTCTGCGAACTGTTCCCTCCTAGCACTGCAACTCTGCCAACTCCAAATACTCATAAATGCTGGGCACAATTGGTTGAGATCCTTGTAGGGCTGAAGCATGCCCAGCCCATGAAGTTCATCCCAAAGGGAAAGTGGCCAGACAGCCTGTAAAATGGGACGGTTCCATAAGGGAGGCCTGCCCCTTAGCAAAGGAATATTCCGTACTGTCAACTTAAGTGACAGTCCGTGCTTGCGCTCCTTGCTCCTTCCCTTGGCATCTCCCTGAGCGGCCCTGCGCTGATTCCCAGCCTGTCTTCACGGGTGCTGTGGGGTTTGGGCAGAAGTGGAGGGTGAGGGGCTACATGTGATGATTTTAGAATAGAACAATGCGGGCTGGAAGAACAGCCTTCTGGTCTTAAGAGCTGGGCTAAGCAACATCTGCGGGCACTGTCCCCACACAGCCATGGACAGGTGACAAAGATGATGTGGATTGAGTCTGGTGGCTCCCCCAGTAAGTCACACATCGAATTATTGCCACACAACCCAGCAATTCCTTCTACTTCTAGAGATACATCCAGAACTGAAAGCAGATGTTCACACAACAACATGTACTGGAATGTTTACAGCAGCATTATTTACAATAAACAAAAGGCAAAAATAATCCAAATATCTATCAACTGATGAAGGAGCCAACTGGTATATCCATTCAATGAAATATTATTCAGCCATAAAAACGAAGTACTGACCCAGGCTACAACATGGATGAACCCTGAGAATATGCTAACGGAGAGAAGCCAGGCCCAAAAAGCTATGTATTGTATAATTCCACTCCCATGAAATGTGCAGACTACCCAATCCACAGGGACAGAAACAGAGGAGTGGGGTGTGAAGGGACTGCTTAAAGGGTATGGGGTTTCCTTCTGGGGTGATGAGAACATTCTGGAACTAGACGGTGGTGATGGCTGCACAGCACTGCTGATGGTAAATTTATGTTCTGTGTATTTTACCATGATAACAACCAAAAAGAGTGGATTGATCTGAAAAAATAATAGGGGCCCCTGGGTGGCTCAGTCGGTTGAGAATCCGATTCTTGGTCTTGGCTCAGGTCATAATCTCAGGGTGGTGGGATCGAGCCCTGTGTGGGCTCCGTGACTGGTGCAGAGTCTGCTGGTGATCCTCTCCTCTGCCCCTCCCTGGCTCGTGCGCGTGCTCTAAAATCAACTCAAATCTTGGGGCGCCTGGGTGGCTCAGTCGTTGAGCGTCTGCCTTTGGCTCAGGTCATGATCCTGGGGTCCTGGGATCGAGCCCCACATCGGGCTCCTTGCTGTGCAGAGAGCCTGCTTCTCCCTCTCACACTCCCCCTGCTTGTGTTCCCTCTCTCGCTGTCTCTTTCTGTCAAATAAAATCTTAAAAAAAATCAAATCAAATTTTAAAGGGACAAATAAGAACTTGCCCTCAAACCATGTTTTCTTTTCTCATCTCAGGCTCAACCAAAATGGTTTTAAGACCAGCAAGTTTTTTCTGGTGCCTGCTTTGGAGACAGAGCAGTAGCAGGGTCCCAGGGGTGGCCAGGAAGGGGCCCTCCAGGAGGATCAGCTGACCTCTCTGGCTGGAGCTTCACCACACTGGAAATCTTTACAGAGCTAGAGTGCCTTCCTCATCTTTTAAAGAAAAGAAGGGGGATTTTATAGATGGAGGCAGGGTGTCTCCCTCTGAGGGCATGCCAAGCCCAACGACAGCTGCTGCTGGAGTGGGGTGGCCAGGGGAGGGCTGCTTTCCTCCCCATCCTCTGTTACAGGATTTAAAGGCTCAGCAAACTCTGGCATTCAGGGACTTTCATCTTGTTTCATCTGTTCCAAGCCATCAATGCAGGCAAATGGCCTTTATCGAATTACGCTCCTTCATTTTGCATTTAGGCTCCTGTCCTCATTAGAGAAATCTGTGGGTAAAGGCAAGACCCCGTCCACGGGCGTCCCCACGTGAGCCGTGTGTTTTTTGGAGGCGCCGCACTGAAGGGGGCAACCAAAGTCTCCCTGGGAGCTGAATCGGCCCAGAAAATGTCGCCTCCTGTCCGGCCCCGTGCAGCTGGGATGAGGAGGGGCCCAGCCATGGGCCCACTCCGTGGAAATGTGCGGGCCACTTCTCCGTGGTGTCGCGGGGGTTCCCTGCCAGAGCGGGGCATGACCGTGCCCCGCGCCCTAAGGGGACGGGGCGGGGGGGGGGGGAGGGCAGCGCCTGGGTGGGCGGGGCCTCTGGGGACCGGCGAGGTGTTCCCGAGGATGTGGGGCGGCCAGTGTGGGCGCCGGATGTGGTGGGAGGAAGCTCGCCTTGCCCCAAGCGCAGGCAGGTAGTAAACAGATGCGTCTGCAAGTGATGAGAGGTGGGGTCAGCATTTCGTGATGGACCCCAGGCCCCAGAGTCAGGCCCTTCTCCGTCTGGGTGCCCCCGGATCCCCAACGCCAAGGCTCGGGCGCTGGCCGACCGACAGCTAGGGCCCGCGTGTGCAGCTGTGTTTGCGTTTCACCTCAGGAAGCAAGCCCCTCTGCTTGTGTCAAGCCACAGACGGCCAGTCTTTCAAAACCCAACTTCCGGAAATGCTACTTCTGTTTTTGTTGGGGCTGAACAGATACTCTGGGGCCGCTGGGAGAGGGAGGGTCCAGCAGATGCCAAACCTGGGGACGTGCTGGCTTGGGCAGGAGTCATGCCCGGGTCTGAGATCTGGGAGGAGGCTGAGCCCCAGCAGGCTGTGGGATCTAGAAAAAGGTCACACGA